ATTAGTTTTAAAAAAGATTAATTTAATTTCCTCTTATTAAGATATGATAAACAGTCGAATCTTATTTACGATGAATTGTTCTACGTATTTCTCATTAGTTTTTTATCATTCAATAATTCGAATTTGAACATTTTCTCTCTAATTTGATGATGATTATCAAACGATTAATTACACAACCCGGATTTGAAAAAGAACTACATTTTCATCAACCAGATATATCACTCCAAATAATGTCACATCTTGATCGAGCAATGATATCCCTTGATCTCGTTACGCAAGATAGGTTACTGCAAAGTGTTATCTTTGATAGCCCAGATTTTTCGAAATCTCTTAAAACATGCCTCAAGTTTCCCAGTGATAGATACGGTGAATTATGTTATCTATCACTTTTCTATTTTCTTTTTATTTTACTTTCTGCAACGACCTCCAAACGAGAGATAAAGTTCTTGGATACCTACGATGAATCCTTTCCTTTCAATCTAAGCCATTTTTATTCAATTTACTCTACGTGAACGCGTTCTTTTGTTCGACGAAAGGATATCACGAGATTGTACCCATTAAGAAACTCCTTTTACCTATCTGATTTATAAAAAAGAATTCTATCCTAAGAGTAAGATTTCACTTGTTAAAAGAGTCTAATATAAAAGATAGATAAATAATGAGAGAGATACTTGAGGAAATAAAAATGATACATGAACGAAATAAGAATATTGATGTGTTATTATGATTATGTGTGATTATTGATGTGTTATATTAATCGCATGAGTCAACAGGATTCAAAAGAAACATAAAGACTAACGAGATTTAGTCTTATAAAAGCGCCCACAAAAGTTATTATCATGAAATATATACCCAGGTAGCTAACGAGCGAGAACCAAAAGAGCTATTATTCTGTGTTACTAATTGTAACTCGGTCTACCTTCGAATTTAATCAACGCTTGCGTAAATATAAAAATCCCGTGTGGATTAAGACGTTATTCAAATAATTACGCCCCTCTTTCTGTGCTCTTCATGTTATTTTACGCAAACTTTACTTTTGCATGGGTGTCGAGTCAATGGGAACGTTATGAAGGCCGTGGGACAGTATACCTTCGCGTTTTGATTCTTACTATTTTTTGATGCTTCACTCGGAAATTCTCGTCCGCTGATTTTTCTCGAAATAGCAAGAAAGATAGACAAAGAACGAGAGAGAGGGAGAGAGAGAGAGAGAAAGAAACAGGGTGGCAAAAAGGAAGAAACGTTGGCTCTGGCTGCTAATCAGCATCGAGCTGTGTAATTAGAGCAACCGGTGTGTTTGTATGCCAAAAGAGAAAGAATTCAGGCTCGCAACCCGCTGTGAGGCTCACTCTTACGAATAAAAGAAAGAAGGAAAAAAGAAAAGAAAGAGAGAGAGAAGCATTGCGTGACCGTTATGCTCCGTTACGAAATGAATTATTCGCCGTTAGGTAATCATAGGTAAGAAGAGCATCAAATTTAAATCAGATTGTATCGCTTCGCTGTAAGTCCGTCGGCCGTTAATGGTTCTTATTTCTCTCCTATACACCTCGCATAGAAAGCAAACGTTAAATAAGCATTTACCGAAAAAATTTAACTCGCGTTGGAATCTTCAAGAATGTATGAAATCGAATTTACAAAATCGCAATATTAAAAGCGTTTAATGTAACTCGTCTATCCCTAAAATTATTTTATTTTTTGAAAATTACTTGTAAGTATAAAAATTAACAAATAAATAAAAGTCGGACAATTTATGAAGATATGAAAAGAAATCATTCATTAAGATTGTAAAATTTCAAAGATGTTTGAACCATTATTTATCTCAATCTTAAAAATACGTTCGCGTGAGTGAAAAATATCATCATTTATCATGAACTCGTTAGATATTCTAAACAAATACTTTACGAAAGAAGCACTCTCCGTTACGATGTTATACCATTTACATGAGAGGTCACGAACGAAGAAGTACTCATCTTTCATCTAAAAACACACGTGCGATAGCATTTCATTAGAAGAAAATGTCTCCTCGGTTCTTCGGTAAGATGCGTTTACGCGAAGCAAATACTGTAGGACGTATACTATCATCTAAAAAGAAATACATAGGTACATACTTTCTTCGTGAGACACAACGACGTGCCTTTGCAGCCGCATCTAATTAATTTAATTAATTTATTCTCTCACGCGTTGTATTTTTTATAGATTTATTTCAAGCTCCCTTTAAGAGGACAAACGAAATTTTACGTCGACGATACGATTATCTATTACTTTTCTATACGATGATATGTAAGAATAATTTAATACTCTATAAAGCAATGTAATTTTTATGTCACAAATTTATTTATCTGTATTTTAACAATTTTATTTCATTTCATTCGACACAAAATTAATTGTTTGTAGAAATCCAAAAATTAATATTTGATGAGTCTGATTATACTTAATATAATATAATTATACTATAAATCTTTTACAATTACATATTACATATGAATAATTTTTATTAATACCTTCTTTTTTTAAATAGTATTATATTCACATATGATTTTCAAATTTAAAAATGTTTAACACATTTTAATATTTGAGTATAATACTATTATATATAAATACGATATATAATATATGCGAACATAACTGTATTAATATCTGGCTTATCAAAAAATCTGGCTTATCAAAGATTAATTCACTATTTTCTTATAAAGGAGATATATTCTCGTTTAATTAAATAACAAAATAAAAAGCTGATTTTTCTGAACATGTTTAACGTATTATGCAACGGATTATTCGAAAAGCCTCATTGATTTTTTCGACATCTTTCGTCTTTCATCCGGTTTCATGTACAGTCATAGTGATGATAATAATTGTGGCGGTACAATTGCTATTTTCAGAGACAAATGCGTCCACCATCAATGCTCCGAAGTGGCGCATTAAAGGGTAACGTGAGAAACCGTTGAAAGATTTTTTCTGTATTTTTTGCGTGAAATCAACTGACTGGACACAAACCTCCATTAACGAGTGGAAGTTCTATCTCTCTTCTCTCTCTCTCTCTCTCTCTCTCTCTCTCTCTCTCTCTCTCTCTCTTTCTTTCTCTCTCACTCACTCACCCACTCTCTCCTTCTTTCCTTCTCTCAAACGTTCGATTTTCAGCATGGATCAAATCACCGTTACACTGTAGAGAGCCCTTACTCAATCCTCAACTACGTAATCTATTTTTCGCATCTTCGTCTTGGCCAGCTATTCGAAAGCAGAGAACGTGAAGATCTCGAGCATACGAGCTTTTCTTTTCCCGAATCGATCATCGAGAATCACTTCCTTGATAAATACAGAAAAAATCTCTTGGAAAATCCAAGTGAAAGATAATCATTGAAAATTGGATTGCGATGAAGGAAATGTTGGGAAATGGCATAGGAATAATTCCGCGATGAAACAATGGGGATCATTAAGTATTGATTTAAAAAATGAGCCTAGTCATTAGAAGATCGTACAGGGTGTCCTATTTTATTCGAACTATGTATTTCGTTGAAGCTGTTATAAATAAATATATATATATATACATTCATGCACACACTCACAAGAATATTTGTTCTTAATTATACTTTCCAACGACTATAGTTACCAATTTTCCTTTAAGGTTTTTTATAATCGTATAGGACCTTAAAAGAAAAACGATTCAATTTCAAGTGGATCGATTGAAATCCTGTATAGGATTGAAGGACAAATCGAACGTTTCATATAGTATAACTACATCTCATTTATTTCGTTATTAACATTTCTATCCGATGTTTCTTCATTCGACTTTACGATCAGATAAAACTCACTTTCTTTCAATCGTCCAATAGATGATCAGACAAAAAGTAATCACATCTTTGTACGCTATATTCGCTTACCTGCTTGAAAAGGCATAGCTTGGACTCGAGACGTCTCACCGTACTGTTGTCTCGTCGTACTGACGATAGCTAGGGCGGGAAAATTTCGAATATTATATAACATCAAGTATCATTATGTAATATCATCGTCGGAAACTAGCGAATTACTCTGTACGTAATTTATATTCCCTTTATTTTCTTATTACGAGAGAATGGGATTGTTTGTCTTTCAAGAATTTACGCACATAGGTATGGAATGGAACGAAAATAAAATTTAAATTTGTACAACGAACACGTTTTAACAAGTGTCCTAATTTTCGAATCAAATTTTCAATGTATTTTCGTTATGCAGTTTTGTCACATATTTTCGTCATATATCCGAAAAAATTCGTTTTAATTCATAATAATATGTTCGTAAAATCGAACTCTACATTTCCTATTCACTTTGACGATTTTTCGAAAAAAAAAGAAAAGAGAAAGAGAAAAGAAAGAAAGACGAAGAAAATCCTTGAAACTGCTGCATACTTGAAGCTCTTGAAATTTTCTTTTAAGAGCAATCGAGCTTGAAATGTTACAGAAGTTGAGCTAGTTCAAAAGTCAAGGGACCATGAACATTCTGAAATCGTCTTTAAAAATGTCTTTTAAAATCAATCAATTATGTCACAGCTCGACTCCTCAAATTTTCCAGTGATCTCATGAAAAAAAAACGATTATTTCCAATATTTCCTACGTCAGCAATTTTTGCGATAATTTATTCTCGCAATTTATATGATATCCTGCGATAAATTCCGATTAGTATAAATTGTATTTGAAGCGTACATCTGATTTAAATAATAAAATTTTTTCCGGGGAGATTGCTACTCGTAATAAATAATATCAATATCGATTTTGTATTTTGTTTCAATATATATTATCTTTGTATATTATTACCTTTCAGTTTGATTATCTAACAATAATACATACCATGATTGATATTCCTTCATTGTTTCATGAAATATGTCCGCTTCAAATAAGCAATATGATTGAAAAGTTGTTGAAATGTATACACATATATTATACATATATAAATGGAATGAGAAGATAATGTAGGAAATTTTTTAGATAAGAGAATGTAGGAAAAGAAAAAACAAAAATAGAAAGTGTATCTATATTTTTCTATCAATTTTAATATCGTATCTTTTTCGTTCAGGTAACCTGCATAAAATGCATAATAACCAGCCCACACATTGGCAATGTTACTCACAATTAATTGGATAATAATCGCAAAAACTCTCGAATCTCCTCAAAACGTAAATACAATACGAACATAGTTATATTATTAATTGGAACGCAGATTTATAAATTACTTCTTTTCCGTTAATAACTAAATTAGAAATTAAAATGATATGTACAAACTGTAGTATCACATACCCGCAGTTTTTTACTTTCTTATACTGTACAACGAATACGTATGTAAATATCTGGCTATACACGTGCCCTACTAAATGCACCGGAATATATCCAACGAGTTAATACAAAAAAAGATAATTGATTAGGTCCCTTAGCGATAATTATTGACGTTTTACGTATACTTTTTATTGATTATGTCAACTTTTTTCGCCATTAATTTTGTTCCGAGTTGATTTACATTATTATGATAGAATTATCGTGAGAAAAGCGTAGAAATTCTTTTCGAATTATTAGTAGGGCGATATGATCAATAAGATAAAGTTATCTATTTATTATATCGAATAGCGTAGAACATCGCATAATACGTATATATGAACTGATGTGATCTATATTTAAATATCGAATAATCATAAAACGATAGATCGTTTTATAGAAAAATAGAATAAACTTACTCGCAAAGAGGAAAGATTTTTCCACAGTCGTTTCGCTGTTACTCTCGTATACTTTTACGCTTAACAAAAGAAAGAAAGAAAGAAAGAAAAAACATTCACGCGTAAATTAATGAAATCTATTGTCTATCAAAAACATACATTTTTACGTAAACCTTCATGGAAAAACAGAAAAATCGATTTGATAAGAAAATACAACAAAATCTACGCTATGTGCCACGATTATCGAGAGAATTTTCAAAATAAACAAAGGAAATTTTACTTGCTATAAAATATTTAAAGTACTCATTATACAAATTGATTGACAAATCTTAAGTACAATTCGTTTATAACGTAAAAGCATTTCTTCGAACATTGTATACATATATGCATATGCTTGGGTGTACGTGTGTGTGTGTGTGTATGTGAGTGTGCGCGCGCGGGAGGAGGGGACCCGTGTAATAACAAAACAATATACTTTCATAACATGCGATATATGTATATAAAAGAGACAATATCAAAAAACACATAAAACTGAAGATCCATACAACATCGAGGCAGTCACGCGCAAAAAAATGAAACAACGAATGCCGAGGTTAAGGCTTAAGTACATACACAAAACTACATAAACTTTCATATAAACACGAGATCACAGTCCCGAAAGATACGTTCGAATCTACCGGAGACTTATACTTGAACGTTCAAAACGTAAATCCTCTTCGGAATATTCCCCAGAGAAGCAAATAGGATGGGACAAATACTCCTCGAGGTATCGAAATCTCTTCTGTCCCTTATCCTCCTTCAGCTTTACTCGAAAGTTCAATATCCTCGATAACGATGAAAAAATAAGGTGGTGCAGTAACCGAAAAAACATTTTTCAGATTTTCATCTCCGATAAAAAAAAAGAAACAAAAAGAAATAAAAAACTTTATTTAGCTTTCGCCTATTTTAAATTACTATTCAACAGCTGTGTATTCGCATTATTGGCAGCTATACGTTGCTGTTCCTTTTTCAGCTTCTGCTTCTTCCTCTTGTTACGTTTGTGGAAGCAAAATAGTACGAGAAAGACGATAACGATAAAGCAGGCAACGCAGCAAACCACAATGATCCATATATTGCGTGCCTTTTTAGTTTGAATTTGTATCCTCAGGATATTCGTACATTCATCGTAAGTCGTTAAAGTTTCGTTGCTAAAGGTAACATTTCCACAACGCTCAAATGCCGCAGGAGTGCAATTGTACTCTGGTTTAAAGATAATCTTGCGTAATTTCAACCATCTCCGCATGGTAACGCATTCGCAATTGTCCTCTTCGAGATTGAGTGGATTCTTCGAGGCATCAAGAACCTCTAAGTAACAGAAACGAGCCAGCTCCTTCGTTGTAATTTTACTGATCATGTTTTCGGAAACGTTAAGGTTTAGAAGCGTTGGTAAGTATCCCATTTCTGGCAGCTTTGTTAGTTTGTTACGATGAAGTTGGAGAAAATTAAGGGGTGAGGTAACTTCGGTCTGAAAGACGGAGTTACCAAATTTATTCACGGCTAGATAGACCCTACGTAGATAGGGAAGCTGAAACAGATTCTTCGGAAGATTGTCGCAACCGTTCTTCGTTAGGTCAAGGACTTCAAGATAATATTGTTGAGCAAACGCGGACTCCTCGATGTTTTGAATAAAATTGTCGCCGAGATAAATATAGAGCAGCTTCGTGTATGACGAAAAACTGTCGTTGTGGAGATCTCGTATTCTACTGAAGGACGCGTCAAGAACCTGTTGAATGAAAGAGAAAAAGGAAAAAGATTATTTTTCTTAATTGATTTATCATTAATCATAATTATTTGCACGAATCGGATATACTACTCCAATGATAGATAAAAAAGTAAAGAAAATAACGATTCTCATCTGTATTAATGGCAAAATATAAGAATTTAATGATCAATGCAGATCACAATACCTTATTTAACATACAACATTAATTGTATCTCTCTAAAATCGTATCACTATTTTAAAAGGTTTAAGAAAATTATAGGATTGCGTTGTCTTATCATAGAATATTCATGTTTTAGGATATCTCACCTGTATATTTGAATTTAAATCACGAGGAATTTCCTCCAACTTTGGATCGGAGCATTTAACCTGTAGCATCGAATAGGCCTTGCTGTATCGGCAATGAACTTTAGACTCCTGTTGATTTGCGTATCCCATAGACGTGGATCCAAGAATCAATACGTCGGATGCAGTGGTCATGGTTAGACCAACCACAAAAATATTGAGAACGAAGAATGTCATATCTGTAAGACAGAGAGAATTTCACTTGTGAAAGTTATCAACGTTTAAGTAAATTGTTTTTCTCCTAATATACTTTTCACGTTTCTTTGGAATGCAGCTAATATAATATCGAAAATTAATAAAACAAATAAAGCAGTAAGCGTTTATAATTATTAGGATTCGTATCGATTCGTAAGGACCAAATATTTATTAAAAGTATAGACGACGATAAAGATTTAAGAAATGTCTAAGCATTTGTCTTATAACGAGTAAGTATTGCGCACTCTAATTAACAACAGAAGCAACGATGAGAATATAATGTACAAACGAAAAGAAAAGATGGAACAAAAGAGAAAAAAAATAGAACACGCAAGGAGGGAAAGATTTTAAACTAGACTATTTTCCAAGCACTAATCTTAGGTAATCTAAGTGTAGGAAGAAACGCGTATTGAAAGTTTAAAGTGTGTAAGACTTTTTTCTTCTTTATAAAGGTAGTACAGTGGTACTTAAAGAAAATGTTAGCGAACAAGAAAGAGAAAAGAGAGCTAGGCGAAGCAAGGTTGATAGCAATGTTGATGGTTGTGTTGGTCTTGCTTTACTGCCGTTCGAGACTAGAGAAGAAGCTTTGTTGGAAGCTGCATACAGAGAGAAATGGGAAAAGCAACTGCAAAACTTTTAGAAATAGTATAAAGAAACGAAAAAAAAGAATTTTTGGCGGATCCAAAGATAGCGGATCCAAAAATAAACACACGCGAGCGTACATATGAAACCTAGTTAGTTAACAAAATCTGTTTTCACAAGGGACACAAAGTTATTCTGAAATTGATTAAATAGATTTATTTCCGAATTTGTCTCGATTTTTCCGTTAATGTCATTTGACTTATGTAAAATTACTTTTTATAAAATAAAATATGAGCTCTGCTAAATGAGAAAAACTTGCAATAAAAAAAGAAAATAAAAAAGAAGAATTAAGTAAAGAACCAATCGAAAAACGATTTGATTCAATTAGAAACTTTAACTGCAATTCCATGCGAGTATTGATTTCAAGGGATCCACTTTAGTCATCTAAAACTTTCAATTTTGCCTATATTTCTTCCTCGACTCGGATATAAAATAATGGCTTGGAGAGAAAAAAACGAACGTAGACCAGCAAAAATCACTCCAATACTTCAACATCCAAGAGTAAATCCGACTGAATGAGAGACCACAGCAAAAATAAAAAGCTTCACGAACTCGAGAAAAACCTCCGAATAAAGGTGTTGAAGTTTCGTATCCTTGTCTCCAAAAATCCGAGATAACCCCATAAAAAATTTTCATGGGTCACTATAAGTATTTTAGAAAACGGATGAGAAGACATAGATTAATAATCCAATTATTATTTGACAATTTAAAAGAAATGTTTCGAGGCTACTCAGTGTAATATATATAATGCAATAAACAAGACATTTCGATCAAATTTCGCTAAGTAAAACGAGATCTGGATCCGAGAACTGGATCCGATATCCATAAATTCATTTCGTATTCAAGATGGAATTCATTATTATTTTGTTTTTTGTCACAATCCCATTTGATTAAGAAAATAGTTCCACGAGCGAATAAATATTCGTGAACTCGTTATCCGAAGAAGAAATCAAATGGTTTTCTAGCTCGTTATTTTTCATCGAAATCGAAAAGAACCATTTACCTCGTTATCACATTGCATGATGATAAAAAAAAATATTTCTGAAGAAATGATGTTCCTACGATAATACTGATAGTGCATGACGAAGCAAGGGGAATAGTGATCATCGTTTCGATGAAAGTGAAATAAGGTCGATATCAACGGAACACATTTCAGTCTCATCGAAAACGCGTTAAGCGACTTTTTATCGATTCCTACATAGTTTTGTCATCTTCTTATCAGATTCCTAGCATTTTCAAGAACTTGGACTTCGTATGAAGTTCGATACAAATAGCTTGTCGAAAATTTAATTAAATATAGTTTCTTAAAATCGTATAAGAACAAAAAAAAACTTTACAAAAATTCATCGAGAATATTAGTCAAATTCTTAAAAAAAAAAATATCGATCGAAATTTTCTATAAAGGTACTTACATAATAAAGTAAGTATTGAATAAAGTGAAATAAAAATAGTAAAATGTACAGAGGCATGGATTGACTTCGAGTTTGGTGCAAACGAAAAAGGAAGCAAATGCAATCTCAAATAAAAGAACCATTTATCGAGTAAGCATCGAACAACAACAACAGCAACGACGGCGACAACGACGGCAACGACGATGGTGTAGACGAAATTGGACAAATACCTTTTATTCATCAATAAAATACGAGAAAGAAAGAGAGAGAGAAGTAAACGACTATTTGTTGGACAAAAGTCGACCCACATTGAATAACGGAAAAAGCGTCTGGGCGACACACTGAGATGGGAAAGTATTGCCAACACGGTGACAAGCTGAAAAAGAGTTTGTCAAGCGACCTGATAAACTACTGTCGAAAGGCTGACAGAGGCGGATGAAAAAATAGAAAAGTGTCACGAGTATAGTCTTCGAGCGATTTCACGGAAGTGGAAGCGGTAGAGTAAGTGATGAGAAAGAGTGTGATAGAAAAAGGAGAAAAGAGTGAGTGAGTGAGTGAGAGAGAAAAAGAAAAATAGTAAGAGAAAGAGAGAGAGAGAGAAAAAAAGAGAGAGAGAGAGAGAGAAAGAGAGAGAGATAAATAGAGAGTAGGGCAAGGGACAAGAAAGGTCAGTTTTGTTGGATAAGAAATACGGAAAAGATCATAAAAAGCGAATAACTCTAGAGAAAAAAATTATAAAATTTTTAAATAAAAAACGTTCGGTGACATCGTTTTCTCTTCATATTTGTTCTTTGATTTTCATTATCAGTTTATTTATAAAAGGAAATTTTTTATAAAAAGAAATTCGAAAACTCCCGTATCATCGTTTATCGCTTTCTTTGTAATGTAATACTGTATTCGATTTAAATGTCTATTCACGAATGGTCCAAATAATTGATTATTGACGACCGCTTATAAGCGCTTCTGTAACTTATTGGATAATAAATGTCAATATATATCATAATTTCTCGCGTACATCTAGTCATGCTTGCGAGATTTTATCTTCAGAACTTTCAAACGATCGAAGTAAACTCGTTACTTAGAATTTAACAAACACAAGAAATAACCTTACATAATACTAAGGGAAACGAGTAAAAATATTTGCTTAAATACAGAAAGTGAGAAACGCGTTAAAGAACCAATTTTAAAAGGAAAATAAGAAAAAAAAGATTTGTTATATCTTACGAGTATTTTAAATAAGCTACCAACAATTTCTAAAAAGTAAAATGATCAATGTGAACGATTTTCGTATTTAGAAGCAAAACAAAAAAATGATAAAAGGAATCTATTCGAGCGCAACCAAGCGTGCATTTTATTATATTAGTTATATTAACATGGAGATAATCGTTCGAATGTGCATTTTGCTTTCAACGAATAGGAAGTAATGCATCGATCAACATATCTATGACTTGTTCTCGGATAGCAATAGAATCTAACGTTACAGTGACATTGATTTTTCTTACAGTTGCATAATAATTAGCTATCACATTCACAAAGATCGAATGATCGAAGCAATATATAAATATATAGGTATATACGTATACATTACGGTGAATGTAAGAGTAAAAAGAAAAAAAATAGAGAGAGAGCTTGAAAAGATCAGATCGATCTTCTTATACAAATTCGAATTAAAAATAATTAAAATACCCAAAAGCTCAATATAAACATCGATTTTAAAAGCAAACGATCTTATTAACGTCCTTCAATATTACAAAATTTTGTATGAAAAAGAAAAATGTTTAAGTGTGTTACATTCCAAATAAACCGCAGATATCTCTCGTTTCGCTTATTACAAGTGAACGGAATAAGAGAATTTGAGAAATTTCAATTACAGTGTCGGTCTCGAATTGAAGATGAAAGATCGAAGATGAAACGGACATGGCTCTTGGTTTTTCTCATGTCCTCACAGACGATAGATAGATAGGGAAAAAAAGTGAGAGAGAGAGAGAGAGAGAGAGAGAGAGAGAGAGAGAGAGAGAGAGAGAGAAAGGAAGAAAGAAAAGGAGAGAGTAAAGACGGATAGAAATAATGTGGAAACGACTAAATATTATTTTAACGGCCGATTTATAGAGTAAGCCTGTCAGTTCGACGAGAACCAAACATTGTTGCTCAACTATTCGCGTTTCTGTTGCCGTCGTCCTCTCCTTGTGAAAACTCGCTCTGGTGGTGTAAACAATTCGTTCCTTGACACGAAACAGAGAGAGGAAGAGAAGGAGAGGGGGAGAAGGAAGAGAGAGAAAGAGAGAGAGAACAATATCGTTATAAAGCTTCAGCTCAAATGAATAGTTTTGTTAAGTTTGTACATTATTTATTTCGCAAACGTGAATATCTAATGACTCAACATCTACGATGATATAATGTATTATATATATATATAAATACACATACACTCACGCCCGAGATGAATTCTCAATCGTTTGATCGTTTTAATTTACAATTTTTAAATGAACATTCCAGAATATTCCATTTAAAAATCACATATCATCGTCAAATTTCAATCCAACGAACATTTGTTCACTTTCGCGTACATTACTCCAATACGTCAAGATAGCTCATCGTGGCCATTTAAATCTAAAAGGAACGGAGATACGAGATTCTCCGAGGTTTCTACGCTCTAGAATAGAATGACTAATTTCTACAAGCTAATGGATCCTCGTTTTAATATCTCTTCACTAAACGAATGTGTCTCGAAATATAGAATCGTTCGTATTTACTTAAATGGCGATTTAAAACGAGATTCGGGACATCGAATAGGAAAAATGGTTTCATCTTGTAACTTGGTAGATGCGAATTCACGAAATGAAGGACGTGGCTTGAGAATAAACTAAATGTCTCGAGGTATATGTTCGAGCGAAAAAGATTCTACAAACAGGGAAACAGGAGTGTATGTATTGCAAACCTAAACGCACGAA